ATCGCGAGCGAGCTTCTTTCTGTTTACTTCAGACAGGTACTCAAAAGAAAAACGAGCAGACAAAAAGTGCAGCGTTTCCACAACCTCCTTTTGAAATCCAACAAGTGTTGCTGGTTCACCGCCATAAGACGATACAAGAAAAGACGGCAAATGGGGTGACAGTCCCGTATGAAAGGGTGCTCTTGGTCGCGCAGAAACATGAAGCATGACACCAGCTGCCTCACAAACAAATGCGATAGCCCCAATCCTCCGTCGGCTACTCCATGAAAAAAGATTATCTCGCCTCATCGGCTTGACAGTTGATCTCCAGATAAAAGTGGCAAAAACATGGTGAAACGTCTGTACATTCATGCGGGCACAATGTATCGCTTACAAAACATACCAGAGCTTCGATACCAGAAAGACATTACGAACCGTCGCTCTGGCAAAAATAGACAGGTCACGCCTCTTCCAGCGAGAAGCGCGCCTGTCCAGGTCGGTTGCGACACCCGAGCAATAGGCTTTGTTTACCCGATAGCAGTCGAGTGGCACGCCGAGGTACGTGCAAGGCACACAGTCCCAGCACACGCCCTCAAACGTTGAAGGCGTTGTGGCCCACGCGCCATGCCAAAACCCGCGGCACTTGCTCCAATTTATAGCAGCCCCACCAGTAGCTTCACAAAACGTTTTCAATAAAGAAATCACGGCATTGACGCTTCGCTTGTCGGTAGTAAAAACGGCAATGTCATCCGCATAACTAATAACTTTAACCTCTTCATTTTCCCAATGGAAGCCCCGGCATTCCTTGCTATTCAGGATGCTTAAACAAAAAAGTTCTAAATACATGTTGAAAAATAATAGCGACATAGGACAACCCTGCCTTACAGACGTCCGAACGTGGATAGTTTTTGTAAATTTTTTGTTGACGATGAGTTTTGTGGTACATCCCTGCTAGGCCCCCTCATTTTGGCTCCTTCCAAAATGACACCACCCACGTTGACACGTTTCAAACCATCAAAAGGAACATCGTGCTTAACACGGTCGAAAGCTTTGTTTCGGTCTAATTGTAGCATGGCAACTTGGCCCATGCCGCCGTCTCAGGCTTTCAGAACACTACGGGCTACACGAACATTAGTTGTAATTGACCTCCCTTTAATACCGCATGTTTGATGGCCTCTAATAAGCTGGCAGGCTACTCCCTGAAGCCGCCGCGATAGAATTTTTGCAAACATTTTGTAGTCAACGTTACATAAAGTAACTGGGCGAAACCCCGTGACGTAACGCAATTTATCGGCGTCGCCACTCTTAGGAATGAGGACCATGTATGTTTTTAGTAAAGATGGCGGCAGCGCTTTCCGTTCATACGCAGTTAAAAATACGTCCAGTAACATCCCGGACACTGCGCTCTTATATTTCTTATTGAACCCGGCCTTTAAACCATCAGGTCTCGGCGTTTTGGAATTTGTCAAATCGTATATTGCTTTGCCAACCTCTTGTAAGATGATTACATGCGAAAGACTGTCCCGTTCCTCCTTCGCCAGCTCTGGCAGGGAGTCGAGAAGGTTCCCGTACTCTGGGTCCTTCCTCCCCTGAACTTGCGACAATGCGCAATACTTCCTTTCTTCTTGGGGTGGAAATGAGTATAGTGCTGTGCGGACCAAGTGACCTCTCTTCTACTTACACCACCACATTTGTCTAGATTGCTGTGTGTGCTGGTGTTGCAACTGCTTTCTCCAGTATTGATAATGTTGAAGAAACTAGCCGCAACTTTGCCTTGCAGCTGTCATAATTAGATATTTTGAACATAGCTATAAATAAATTACAATTAAATTCTTATAAATGACATATGCCGAATAAATTCTTTTCCTAGGACTCCATGCTGGAGGACTTCAAACCCTCAGAGACCTGCGAGGTGCTGCTGCACCCGGAGCAAAACCGCGAGCTGCCCACCCTTGTGCAGCTGGTGCCAGCTGGGCCACCAGCTTCACAGCATGCTCCAGTGCAGCAGCACGCATCGCCTGCCCAGGCAGCTGATCAGCCGCCGGCCAAGAAGCGCGCAAGGAAGGTGGGACGGGCGAACTCCCAGGAGGAAGAGGGGTCTCTTCGTCGCATAGTCGAGGAGTCGACAAGGCAAATGGCGAGTCGGGCCGAAAGCCCAGACAGTAACGATCCTTTTCGGATTTTTGGGATTCACGAAGGAAATGAGATAAGAAACTTGCCAACCTGCCCCTGGAATGAAGCAAAGTTTAAAGTTAACTCGCTTTTATACGAACTGTATTGCAGAGATGAAAGACTAAGTAGTTCTCAATCTTCAACTTCCGAATAGGAACTGTCCATCACTACTTTATGATGTTCTTTAGGCCCTCGGCAAGCAGTATACTTCACTGACTAAATTTCTCATCTACAGCTGGGACACCAGATGACTGGCTATACTCCGTTTCTCCTTATGGTGTACTGCAGCATATGCTACGAGCCATGGGATGCAATCCAATGTCGTGCGTGACCTCTGGGAAAGGTGCAGCGATGTGTGGGCTGTGTAGCCAGGTGATACATTCATAGTACTGGATTGGCTGCAATGGCTCATAGCATCCACTGGAGTCAGTCATAAGGTAAAATGGAGTACAGGCTCTGGCACAGCACAATTACTTCAAACGGAGGTAGGCTGGCAAGTTTGCTATTTTCCAAGAACAGTCCCCATTTGTAACACTGCCCAAGAAAATCATCTACTTCCTCACTAAAGTAGAAGTTTGGGCTAGTTGGTATTTCATGATTAAAGATTAAAACAGCGCAAGGACACGGACAAGAACAAGAAGGTAGACAAACAAGGCGCTGACTTACAACTGAAGTTTATTCGTTCTAACAGCGAGTATAAATACTGTATTGTCACAACAAACAAACATGAATAAAAAGCATGAAGAAGCGATGGCTAGTGAGCACGTGGCATCCAGGTCACGCTTTTTATTCATGTTTGTTTGTTGTGACAATACAGTATTTATACTCGCTGTTAGAACGAATAAACTTCAGTTGTAAGTCAGTGCCTTCTTTGTCTACCTTGTTCTTGTCCGTGTCCTTGCGCTGTTTTAATCTTTAATCTACTTCCTGAACTCGTCACACTTTGTTACCTTTCTAAAGAACTTTGCATCTCTTTGTTTTCTATACTGTTCCTCGAGGCCTCTTGGAGACTGGAAGTTGTGTTTGGAGAGGGAGGGAGGGAGGAGGAGGGGCGGGAAGGGGGAGGGAGGTTGGGGGTTATTTTGCTTTTTGTCATACCTATTTTCGGCAGACTTTTTATATTGATTTTGATATTTCTTTGAGCAATGTACTTCCTGCATACACTGCAGGGTTTAATTTCCTTTTTTTCTCATACTTGCCTTCGGTATCTTTTTTATATTCCTTCTTAGATTTGTGTGAACAATGTTTGTTGCACACACACTTGAGTTAGCTGTGTTACATGAAAATGTGAAATGATCATGATGAATAAATATCCAGTCCAGTACTCGCCTCTGCATTCATTTATTCAATATTTATTTGGATTTTCACCGGCATTACCGGCTAGGGAGGCAGGGGCAAAAGACACTGCTGGATGACAGGGGCCCCCACCCAGTGTACAGTTCACAGCAACACACAGAGCACATTTGCCACACTAAAAAATACGCCAGCAACCTGTTACATGAAAAAATGCCGAGCAACATAAGAACAGCAATACAGTTAAAATAAAATTGCAATAAAATTGGAAGCGGCAACAACAGTAACACTTGTCACAGTCCTTAGTTGCTCTAAAAAAAGTTAGTTTTAATGGCAAGAGACAAAAAGTATGGACAATTAAGGAAAATTATATTTCATTCAAAACCGAAACGGTTATGAGGGAAAAAAAAACATGGTCTAAAGCAGAGTAGGAGATGCATTCCAGACCCGCAGGGGAGAATGGTGACATGGTGAAGGAAGGTTAAATAAATACACACCGCAGAGTCATGAAGATAGTATATTTTTTCCGTGCTGTTTACCTGTTAGTGGAACATTTACTCATTTCGTTTCCAGTTCCTTCCACCTGACAAGGCTTGGGTAGAAGGGCACATTGGATCACTAACTATCTTCATCTCTTTGTGGTCAACAATTACCAGACCAGTTTAATTAAAGTGCAACTCCGCTCAATTTCAAATATTTTGGATTAATGAGTGATTTCGCATTAAGTGTCGTAGGAAAAGACTACGTTATTTGTGTCTCGAAGAATGGAATATATATTTTAAATATGTTAAACACGAGCAGAAATCTAAAATGAAAATTCTGCTCCGTCTGGCAACATTGGCCTCTGGCCGCGAAGAACATGGCCATCACGTGGTACGAGATCTCACATGATCCTCTACACAACGACAGGCGGGATTGGGGCGGGCGTGTGCCTGGCGCGAGTCTAGTCTGCACCGCACTTTACACCACGTTTTGGTGTCTACGACATTCGACGACGTCTGCACAACTGCGGCATAAGTCTGCGCACGTAATGTCCGAAGTGTGGACGAAATCCCGAGAGACAATAATGACAAACGGTGAGATGACGACGGTAATAATGGCAGGGGGTACGTACGGCTCCCAAGAAGCGCGCTGCGCAGGCGCGTTGCTTCAATCACGTGGACACCGCTGAGCGCCGAGAGGAAACGTTGCTGACGTCACCTGTTACATTTGCACAGAGAAGTAAAAACAAGCAAAAGGGGCAAATTGTGATGACATTTAGCTCAATGTTGGCTATGTCCACGCAGTAGCCTTCCTTGACTGCTCTGTTGGTTGCACCTCAATTTGCTCGCTCAAATCGGCCGATTTCGGCAACTTGGCGAGTTGCAAAGTTTGCCGGACCATTTAGGAAACATCAAGACGCAACTATGTCGTAATATTCGACGTGCAGTCTTCCTGGGAGATGCTGAAAAGGACTCCATTGTTTAAAAAAATGAAGCGGAGTTGACCATTCATATAGTAAAGAACACTATAAAGAAAACAATTCAGAAGCTTACATACGCTTGCACAAAAAGAACTCAGCTTTCAGGAGCAGAACCTTTGAACACTACATTGTACTGCCATGGTACCTCGCCCTGCGAGGAACAGAAGTATCTCATTAACTTGCCCCTCACTGCTTTGTTAGTGTCGGAGGCGTTGTTTGAGCTGACACGGCCTACATCTGACAGCGCAGTACTGCCAGCAGCATCACTCCTCCACTGACCGCCGGTTACGGCGCCAGATGCAGCTTCCTGGTCTGCGTAACCGACGGGGCAGTAGCGACGCTCCCCCTGCTCGCTCTCGTCACACACCCTCAGGTAGTTATGCAGGTTGACGTACGCCCAGACAATGGCCTCCAGAGTCTCCTCAGACGCCTGGAATGTTTGTCTGAAAATGCGCCAACGTGCCACCAGGATGCCGAAAGTGTACTCAATTATCCTCCTGGCTCTGGATAGCCTGTAATTGAACACTTACTGCATTAACTCCAAGTCCTTCCTGGGGTAAGGGCGCATGAGGTTAGTCAGCAGGGGGAACGCCTTATCTGCCACAAAAACAAAAGGCAGCTTGGCTGATGTATGGAGTAGCCGCCCAGCTGGCGGGAGACCAAGTCCTCCCGACAGCAGAGACTGTCCCATTTTGGAGTCTCGAAAAATGCCCCCATCACTAAACCGCCCTGGCTGCCCAACGTCCACCAGCTTGAACTTGTAGCTGGCGTCGCAGCTTGCGAGGAGGACAATGCTGTGGAACCCCTTGTAGTTGAATGTGTCGGAGCCTTTACCAGGCGGAGCTTGGACGGCCACGTGCTTGCCATCCAGGGCTCCGACACAGTTCGGGAAGTTCCACAGCCTGCCGAACTCCGCTGCGAGCCGCTCCCACTGGGCAGTGTTGGGGACCTGGAAAGCCAGTCAAAAAATGTTCTTCGATAATTTTATTTAAATGCCACCATAGCACACAACGCTCATTACAGCCGGAATTCTGTAACAACTGAACTGTTTCACACGAGCAAAGAAGAAAGGGTGTAGCATCTGATCATTCGGAAGGATAGGCTTAGAAGAAACCTGGAGTTAGTGGGTTCATTGATTTACCAGCCAGATAATTTAAACGTTCAGAGCTTTCTCGATCATCCGCCCCGGTGTGCACCGGGGCGCTAAGGCGCGCCTTGTCGTCTTAGATCAAGTGCACCGGTGCGCACCGGACATACTCGATCAACGGAGCGTACCCTCCCGGTGCGGCTTTAAGTTTCCCCAAAGCGCACCAAAAAAGTCAACAGTGCACCGGGGAGCAGCCCCATCAGGCTTTGCAGCCAGGACCGGGAATCAAGGAGATGGCGGGAGTTGCAGATGACGATTTTGTGAAAGCAAACACATCTAAGAGCGGTACTCTAGGAATTTCCCAACCCTTCTGACCGTAAACACGACGAGCTTCTTACCATCTCTGCGATTACCGGTGATTGCTGCAGTGGCAAGGAGCGCCCGAAAGTTACGAACTTCGTGTAAAGCTTTTTGAACCATTGCGATAACACCAAGGTATGGCTATTGTCTGGTGGTGCTCTTACCAACAATTATGGGCAAAATATACCTGTGGAATTGTTACTTGTTTCATGACCCCATAGACAATCACGTCCACAATTCCCATTTGTGTAAAAATGCTAAAGCCGCGAGTAAAAAGCCAGGAGAAATTGACACGTACACAAGAAAAAACAAACAAAACGCGAAGTGACGCATAGTGGTGCTCGCCGCGGTGTACCGGTAAAGCGCAGTTTGTCCTCAATGTTGCACCGACTACGCGCTGCACGACCGAGCGCTGTGCACTGTCTCGGTTTCAGGGCAATTCCGGTACGTGCTGATCGAAGATGGTATTAGAGATCTGTATTCTATGCGAAAAGTGCCTGTCATGACATCACATAAGGATTAACATTTTCTTGAACATGTCTACTCACAAGGCGGTAGAGTGAGTCTAGCACCTTGTAGAGGGCCATGCACGTGTCCCTGATTATCCCGGAGGTCGTCGACCGGCCGATTCGGTAACTGGTCGAGCATATTGCCTGAGAGGCTCCGTGAGCCAGGTACCTAAAATAGTGAAATGAGGGAAACAGATTCAGAGATACTAACACATGATCATCTCAACTTTTAGAGCCGACTGGTGAAATGGAAACAAACATAAAACTGAGTACGCATTAAATGGCGAGTGAGCCAGCTGTTTGAAAAAGAGCAGAAAAGAATGAAGTTATTCAACTCACCTGATTGTCAAGGACAGCCTCTCCGCTGGAGCGATCGGCGTTCTCCAGAAGGTGACTTTTTTCAGCAGCAGTGGCCCAACCAGGGACAGCAAGTGTTCAAACCTACAGAGGAAACCGTTTACAGGCCGTCTCGAATCCTAGCTGCTTCGGTTCGGGCTATAAAGTGAACTTTTTTAAAAATGCGAGCACCATGAAAACGACGCTATTTGCCTCGTTCTTTTTTTATGTTATCTCTGCGTGTTATTTTACGTGGACTTGGCAGTTCCAAAGGCAGCGAGCGAGCGAGGTAATCAGACTGTACGTGCTCTAAACAAGCGCCTCCTAGACGTTGGCGGGCCTTCGAGCTATTTGATATGCATTTAGCATTGGAAAGAGTGAGGTACAGTACACACCTTTGCCGCGTCATCCTGAAGTACATAAAGAAATCTCGTCCATCGTCCAGCCGCATATCGCGGACGAGGTGGTGGTACTCGCCGAGGTTTTCTCGCAAACGAAGGATCAACCGAACCCATTCTTGGCGGGGGCGTCTTCGGCGGCTCAAAAGAACATCGCAGCGGATGACCGCGCGACTAGTGCCCAGTCAATGCTGCTGCCTGCACGGGCAACATAAGCCCTTACGCAGCTATTGTAGGCGTACAGAAAATCTTCGTGGCTGTACGCCGTAGCCGAAACATCCGGCTGTTTCGGTGAGGATCTCGCGTCGGGAACGAAACCGTCCTGGCATATTTGTAAGCATAGCTGGGTTGCTTACTACTGGCTGGGAGCAAGAGCTGAAGCTCGTTCCTTATTGGCTCTTGATCCGTGTGGTTGTATGCGCTTGCATGTGAGTGTACACGTCGCGCACAATTGTCGTTGAAGTCGCAGCGGTTGCATTCGTTCGTAAGCATAGTGGTCGCTCCGAACGCAACTGTGTGAACGGGCCTTTACATTCATGTTTTGTAGAAACAACCCACAACATGAGCGTTGTGGGTTGTTTGAAATTCCCACTCGAGGACTTGCGGCTGTGACGTCATGACCCTATCGACCAGTCAGGATTTTCGCGTCACACCAACGACGCCGGCTTTTTTGCGACAGGACCTCCTAAGCGAACCCCGGAAGCGGCCGCTGGGTGCGAGCAGGAGAGCGGGCTTTGTTTATTTATTCCTACACGAGACCCACGTATACGGTCTTAGGTGCTGATACACAACCGACCAAATAATTATATCTCTTAAAAACCCTCCCTTCAAGCGAGTTTTTTTTAAAACATATCACTGAAAGAGTTTCTAAGATAGTGTTTGAAGCATATGGAAAACGGAAACAAAATATATAGCCTAGTGATACTTTGTATGTGGGCGTGTGCGCGCGCACTTGTGTGTGTATGTGTGTGTGGACGTGTGTGTGTGTAGTGTGTGTGTGTTTGGTTGGCGTGGCTTGGGAGTGATGTAGTTTTGTCAAGCGTGCTTTTTCAGTGAAGAAACTTCTCATTTTAGATATTTATCAACTCGCGTCCAGCGACATTGTGTTTCGAAAAAACTTGTAAAAAGTTGGCCAGATCTATCGCGATAAACAACACTTCTTCGTATGCCTATTTAACAATTCTGCAGACAACGGCGGTCCAAGCAGCAGGGGTATACAATCAATGAAGCAAACAATACTCTTTATACACCTGTGTGAAAAGAAAACTTTCAGCCTTTCCACCCTGGTGTAGAAAGAAGATCAGCGGAGCTCTACTATTCGCCGCCATCTATCAGTGAAGGCGGCAAGCAGACAGCCGGCAGGCCGGTTTTCTGGTTGCCGCCGTCGCTCATAGAAGGCGGTAGCTGTCCAGAGCGTTGCGTTGAGATTTATTCGTCCGCAAACACGAGACTGGGGAAACTAGCCCTTAACAGCTGCGCTGTAAAATTGAAAATAAAAAATGAGACACACCAATATATGCAAAAGTGTAGAAATTGCAAAGACGGCAAAGTAACCTTCTACCTAAAAAAAATGAAAGATGTCTACAAAATTCTGTAACGCGAAATTAGACCGCAGGTCTTGAGAAGGGTAAGGGCAGAGTACGAAGGGGAGAGTACGCCCCTCCCTACTCTCCACTCCTCCTCCTTAAACCGCTAAACATAGCGGGGCTAATTTCCCATTAAATTTAGCGGGTAAATTGTTCTGCTAACTTAAGCGGGGAAATTTTCCAGCTAAATTTACCGGAAAACGTCTGTCCGCTAAATAAGGCCGGGAAATTTTTCTGCTAGATTTCGCGGGGAAATTTTTCTGCTTCTAGGGGGATATTTTTTCGCTAAATTTAGCAGGGAAATTTTTCCGCTAAATTTAGTGGGAAAATGTTCGGCTAACTTTAGCAGGAAATTTTTTTGGGTAAATTTAATGGGAAAATTTGACCGGCTACCTTAAGCGGCGAAATTTTTCGTGGGAATGTTTTCCGCTAAATATAGCGGTAAATTTTCAATGCTAAATAAAACAGGACAATTTCGCAGCTAAATTTAGCGAGTTAACGTCACATAACTTCATGTCATGTCACCCATGAAGAAGTGCATGTAGTTTCTCCGCTAGATTTTGTGAGAACATGGGCGGCACCTGACCTCAACACCAATTCAATTGCGCACTAAACTTAGCGGGGTGGTTACGCCGACGGCGACGCCGCCAAACGCGGAAACGGGCGCCTAAGCGCTGCGCTTTAAAATAGAAATGCATACTTAAGCATTGGCATCCCATGTACCACACATAAATCCAGAAAAATAAAGTTTTGATACATAGCGCTTTTATGAAGTATATTACAGTGCACCTTATGGCACGAAAATACACTTCAAAAGGGTATCGTCATATTGAAAAGTTGCGGCAGGTAATTAATTTCAATCATGAATCACGTTGGGAAAAAATACCTATATGTATTAGTTCTCGGAAAAAAAGGCTCGGCAGATTGTCAGTCTTTGTGCCGTAATTGGCGAGTTTTGAAATTTTGGATAGCGGACGGTTTCAAGCCTAATTTTCGGAAATAAACCGAGCTCGTTGTTTGCAAAATAGCGTGTAGCCCATTTCTTCGCCGCAAATTTTACCGTCGACACTTTTTTACCCGATTTCCCTCCTTGTGCTATTTCCGTGTCGCGCACTGGATTATGGATTCTGCCTTTGGAGTCCGATCAGCTTAATTGTGAGCACAAACACTTTGCGAGAGTCATTTTTCGGTGAGAAGACGAGCGCGCTTTAGTTCCTTTCTCGCGCCTCCGTTAACAAGACCTAACCTCTACTGTTTAGGACGGATTTAGGCTTGTCTGCTCCCTTTTTTTCCGTCAGTATATATAATCGCTCGCTCGCGGTGAATGCAGATACTGTAGTCGTCTGCGTGAAGAAAGAACTTTCATATATGAAAGTTCTTTCTTCACGTAGCAGTTCTGTGTTCGTACTTGTATTATGAATGTAACAACCAGTGTTGGTAGGCGCTACCGACCAAAGTAACGAAATACATTACTCGAAAGTTACTTCCAAAATAAAAGAACGCGTTACCGACCTACGTTACCTAAAAAAATAGGTTACGCGTTCTTGTCACCCTTACGAATAAAAAGTAACGCACGTTGCTTTGGCCTTACCATTTATTTATAAATTGATGGTAACTGCGTTCTTTTCCTGTGAAAACAGCTTTTTCCGACACTGGGGCAAAGGGCGTGAGCGTTGCTTTGTTCTTAAAGTGGCACTTTTTGCTCAGGGGGAGAGGCAAAATGTTGAAGGCATGTGGAAATAGCACAATAATGCATGACTTTGCGGCTCAAAATTATTAAAAACAAGGCACTGCAGTAGAGCGTGGGCTAGACAGATGAACGACGAATGCTGCTTCTGTTCAGCTTAAGTCCAGACCGAGGTGACGCTACGAGGTAATCAACCGATCAAGCAGCTTCAAAAGAGGAAGTCACTGCGCCTTTTTGTTTATGATTGGTCCAGCGGTGACAGAACACTTACAAAAACTTGACAAAAACCACGATGGTTCCTTTTTGACGTTATCTCATCGGTCTAATCAGCCTGTACGTTGCCTTCGTCTGAACTTAAGGTAAACAAAGTATAGAAACACGAAAACAAAGTAGGTGTACTTTTTTTTAGGTTTTGGGGAAAAGGTGTAACGAGTAACGTAACTACGTTACCTGTTGATCGAAATAAGTAACGTGAGTACGTTACCCGTCACTAGGGAGTTTTCGTAGACCGCGTTGCCCCCTCCGCTAAGCGTTCCGCAACGAAGAAGTTGCTACTGCGCCTGCGCGCCGATGGCCTTGACTGTGGAGTTCCCGCTATCGTAGCGGGTTGCGGAGGGCCTTGCGGGACGGCGAAAACGATCTACGAAAACTCCCTATTGGTTTTGGGAAAGTAGCGTAGAAAGTAGGGAAACCTGTAGCACCATTACTTGTAACGCTTTACAGCCAACACTAGTAATGACCATCTAGTGGTGATTGAATTTATTCTTATTGCGACCGTTTCTCCTTGCCGGTCGGTGTTGTATGTGCAATTGTAGGTGGCACCTCGGAAATTTTTACATGATAAAGGTATCTGAAACTGGAGCTTTCAAGGTTGATGGCAAAATACTGGAATGTGGTCACCAAACTTATGAGAACAGAGAGCTTTACTGTATCTGTATAGTCATCACCCCGTTTTGACGCTGCTTCTCGCCTTGACATATTGGAAAAGCTGCAAGCACAAGCTCTTTGATTCCTAGTGCTCGCCTTGAGATAGCTTAGTATCGCGTTTAATTACTTTTCGGGGCGATTGTTGTACGAGTTTTAAACAGTCGTAATCGCTAACCTTATGCTCTTCTTGTTACAGGCGCTGCAGTGCATGTTTTCGAAGTGAGACGAACAGGTGTATGTATTAATCTGCTCTGCGTTCAGGATATAAGTGACTACTTCGCTTCACACTCGATGTAAAACGCTGTCAAGATTATACAGGCTCGAGCGCGTGCGTGTAAAACGATAAATAAAAACACACGCACTCGCCAACAGCTATTTCAGCATCGTACTAACAAAATTAAACGGTGGGTGCCTGGGCGCCCGCAGCTTTGACTGCGTAACGACAAATATTTATATTCGTTTACATCAGAGCTATGCACAGGCACTCACTCATTTAGCGAAGCTGGAGACTGTGAAGTGCTTTTCAGAAATGCTGCTTTTAGTTGTCTTCTGTACGGCATACCGTGTTCTCACTTTTCGAAACGAAAAATACATACTTGCTGGGCTGTGAATAAGGCACACCGGGTTGTTTATTTACGAACATTTCACACTGAATGAACAGACGAAAAGCGACGAAACTCAGAGTTGCGAGGAAAGGGTTCTGCTTGTCTTCTTGCCTCGCGTTCAAGTTCGTCGTGCTCTCTTGAGCTCGCAGCCCCGCTGGAACGCGTGAAAGTGGATTTGTCTATCTTCCTACTGACCGCTGGCCAGCCCCCACTTGGCGGTGGTCAGCCATCTGAAAGAAAATTATACTTTTAGCGTACGTTAAGTACGCGTAAAGTATAACTTTTAAAGTACTTCGTGTATACTAGAAGTGTGATTTTAAACCCCTTCAACTTATTGGCTGTAATTTTTTGGTGTGCTAAGAGTTCAATTTTAACATGCTTTCAAGTTGCTACTCTTAGTATACAGAGAGCATACATTTTTGTTTTGTAAAATTGCGGAATAAATGCTTTAGTACATGCTCTATGTAAAAAAAAAAAGTGTACTTTTAGTGTACTGCTTTTAGAAGTGTCTTATCACTTGTTTGGCTTCTACAGTATCCCCGTGTCCAAGTAATTTATTCAGATTTGTCTGCCTCTAAAATTCAATAAATCTATTCTTAAACATTCATGCAACTGTAATAATATGCAAGATTTCGATATATAACTTGTTTTCTGAGCAAATAAGGATATTTTGTTTCAACAAAAATTTACATTGATGCGTTCAATAACACCGGTACTATTAGTATAATAATTGGGGTTGTGGGAATATTTAAACAGCGTGTAGTTGGTCTGCCATTTAAAGTTGCGACGAGTCACTCGCTGTAGATGAGCAATCCTACGTAATATTACAGCTGTTTATCCGGTGGCAGAAAGCAAGATCGTGCAACTTTTTTTTTCTTTTCTTTGGGCCTAGGATATAAAAGGATGCACTCATAAGGGTCTAATCTGTATTGATTAATTTTGACTTTTTCCCGTTTATGATTATTCCGAGGGTATAATATAAAACTGACTGCCACTCAGCTGGTATTTAATTTGAACACTCATTGATCAGGGACGATGGTTTAATAATTAAGGGGCTGATAAAAAAATATTGTATTGTTTTTCTTGCCCACAGTGTGTAGTACCTCTAAATCACTTCCCATACTTTTTGGTGTCTGGAGAAATTATGTGCAAAATGGAAATATCTATAATTTTGTATTCTCGTTTGTTTGTTTATTGGTGAACTCGACGGATGTTTTCGTGCGTGGACGTAATATGAGGAGAATTAGGCAGTGTGAGCGTAGATTATTTAATGTAGTTTTCGTGAAACGTGGTCACGATTAAAGACTATTCTTGAAGACACCCAATGTAAAGCGGTAGTGTTATACATAAGAAGCGTCCCCCTCAAAAAATAAAATATTTTCAGTTCGTACAAAAGAATAATGGCTATCCACGCTAAAAGAAACTGAGGGTTGAGAGTCATTGTCAGCCTTGCCTCGTTTGGAGAGATCAAGGCAACGTGGTAAATAGAAGCACGTAGGCGGTCGCCGACGTTACGAACAAATATATGTGCAGCTCTTCTAAACTAAGAACAAGTGAAAACGCACTTCTCCGAACCCCTGCAATATTATTAGCATTTTGAAAAATTAAATAGATGGAAGGGATGTAGCTCAAATTTTGCCCAGTCGCCATAGCTGAAGCATCGACTACGTCTTCGTCAGCCTGTCCCGTTTCAGTGGCAAAGCTTAAAAAAAAGAAATACAACTTCAGGGGAGAACACCATACACGCAGGAAGCTTTCAATTAGCTCCGACAGTTTTAATGATGTCCCCACTATACATAAGCCCATTCTGTCCTATGAAAAGAACAGACAAATCTTCATTTCCTTTTCTTTTTTTCTTTTGGATTTATTATTTTTAGACGTCCGGTCATGCTGGGAAAGAAGACAGTCTGGTGAGCATTATTAAAACTGCAGGTAATTAAAAGCGGCCCGAAACTGTTTGTTTTTGTCTTGTTTAAATTCGAGTTATTTATTGTCTTTACATCATCTTTTCAACGGGTTCCCTCTCCTTCCCGTGCCCTCTTTTAACTCTAATGATGGCGGTCGTACTACACTGGCTAAATTTCTAATTCGCGGCAGAGACATCAGACAATCCTTGGGCCGACAAACCTTCTGCTTTAGGAACTTCTTCGAAGAATTAAGAGCTTACTCGCGCGCAAGCGCTTCCTCGCTCAACGAGTGTAATTGCGGCGGAGCACCATTTACAGAAACCCGAAGTCGTGGCCGGCATCCGGTACTTTTCTCCATTTTTTCTTTCAATGATGCGCATAAAAGCCAATGGGCATGAATAAAAGACCCGTTAGCACTCACGTCGCTTTCATTTTTTTTTTATTTAATAAGGCACAAAACATTTCCTAAAGTGTGTCCATTTGTTTGCCCGTTCATGAATAGCCCCGTTACATTTGGCGAGGCAATAGACGTAACGGGCTGTCATGGTATCACGTTATCGCACAACATGAGACCGCAATATCAGGATCTGACGTTCCGCTGATTTTACGTACCCTGGCGTCACGTCAGGTAACGTGGCATCAAAGATACCTGACGTCACGTCACACGTGACCTGAGGTGACCTGACACTACGACTGAAATGACGTTAATCTCGCTCAAAATTAAGTGAAAAACTTTACGTCCCCTGACCACGCTTTTATGTCAAGTTGTCACGCAACTTAGGGTACCAGTTTGACGTCAAGGCACGTGAACTCAATTAGTGGCATCAAGCCACGTGGCAACTTCACCCCGTGTCGTCATCTTACGTCGATTCGGCTCTGGGGCACGCGTCAGGTTTGATGGTGTCCGGTCGACGGCTTCGTCGTCGTCCCGCGGTATCGTGGCAGTGCGGCACTGTTGGTAGTAGCGCCAGCGTTCTGCCACGTCGGGAGTGACTGCTCCTGCCGCGCGTATGCGACGGCGGACTGTTTCGTATCCCTTTAAACGCTTCTGAAGTGGATCGGGGTCGGGGACCTGTAGAGACCCCAGGTGTTTGCACCGTGTGAGGAAGCCTCTTTGGATCTTCTCGTCCGGGTCATAATGTTAGCTTTGTTGGGTCTGGGCTAAATGCAACAGGACTGCCGACTTGCAAGGAAAGAGGACCTAGAGCGCGACTCGGTTTGATTCCTCGTTCCCAGCAATGCCCGAGTTTTCCGGAAATCGAATGAATACGGAGCGTTGTTTTTTGGTCCCTTTTGATCATGCGGGCCTGACGTTTAATAGGACGCACTCTTTGGCGGCCGGTGTGCCGCCGTTTGCATTCGCGGGGTGCTGCCTGGAAGTATACGTACACGTGAAGAATATCCGCCCTCCGAAGGTGGGTATGAGTAGTGCACTACGGCGAACTGAATCGCTGCAAGTTCAGTGTCTTTGCCGCTCGTGCCGTGCAGCAGGCAGATTGCCCGCGTCTCGTCGTACTGGGGTAAGTGTATGGCCTCCGCTGCTTCTCCCTGTTCGGTTGTTGATGCGTGTACAGGGTGTCATAAAAGAAAATTTACAGGGTTTTCTTAACCGCAAAAATAAACTAGGCATCGCCGACCGCCTATTCTCCCCCTGAAGGTAGCTCTAGAGGTCACAACCAGATGCCAAAGTTTCAGCCCGATCCGATAACTTAATAAAAAGTTATAAGTGACTTTCTGAAAATTTCAATGGGAAAATGGAGCCTCCTTTTTCCCGTTTTCGGTTTCTGGTGCCATAGAACCCCATGCATTCGAAAACTTTGTCGGCCGCCATTTTCCCATTGAAATTTTCAGAAAATCACTTATAACTTTTGATTAAAGTATCGGATCGGGCTGAAACTTTGACATCTGGTTGTGACCTCTAGCACTACCTTTGGGTGGAAAATGAGCCTTCGGAAACGCCTAGTTTATTTTCGTGGTAAAAAAAAAATATCCCTGTAAATTTTCATTTGTGACACCCTGTATATACTCCACCGTGGGCTGTGAAGGTTCGGTTCACTCGCCTAAGTGCGTTCATGCAGGCGATTGTGGTAAGCCCTACGTTATGGCTGGGTTGCACACTTACAAAAAAGGGTATCAAAAGTACATAGGTCTTGAAACCTATGTACATTTAGAAAGAGAGAAACGTTCGTCCCTGAAGCAGGCGAGCAAATAGTTCCTCCGTCGCCTGCATATCATTATGGCGGCCCTGATTCGAGCAAAACGAGCTCAATAAGGCTTAACGAGGACGCTACGTCTCTTCTACGGGTCGAGAGGAGCAGCAAATAAAAGCGTAACACGAACTTTCCGCGAATTGTGTTTATTTCCGAAGCCAGATTCCCCCCGCAGGTACAAAAACTTGCGTTTCGAAAGCAGTTACTCAGTTTTCTCGTTGTCAGCACTGCGAAGTTAAACGGAGACAACCGATACTCAGTTACTTCGCGCACTTTACGTCTTACCTTTGTTGTTTTTCGAGCCACAATTCCTTCGTTAACCGCACATCACGGAGGAATGGCAAACCAATCTGCGAAACCAAAAGCCGTTCTCAAAGGAACAAGCTACAAACTCGAAGCCGCTGTTTATCGCGTAGCGTGAAAGAAGGTTAAATCGCTTGCCACCAGAAGCAGGGTCAAGCAGAGTAATTGTTTTCTTATTAACTGAT